TTTATAAAGTAGCTACTTGCATTATATTTAATCAATTCTTTTGTAGCAACTTAATGCTAATTGTGTTGAAAGCTTTTTTTAAGACCAAAAACATCACAAATACCTCTGTCTCTTCTTCAGTAATTGTAACTGAATTGTTACTAACAAAATGAAAAGAGCCGTTTGTGTTCCACCATTTTCTATAAAGGCATATTGAGTAGGATTCTTATATTTATTTATCTCTATCCAATTTTTAAATTTCTCCGCAAGTGTAGCTGTAAATATTTTCCTAAAATTTGACAGTAGCGCAATTGGCCTATTGTTTTCTGGTTCATTTCTACTACCATGTTTAAAAATCATAGTAAATATTACTTCATTCCAATTTGTAGGTATTATACTGGAGAAATATCTTTTATTAAAAAATCTGGTCAAATATTGAATTAGTTTGTAAGGCAATAATTTAATAAATGAATATGGAATTCCATCAGAGCCAGGAGCTGATTTATTTTTAGACACAATAATCTGTTTCTGGACTTCATTTATACTTATTATTTCTTCTTGACTAATTTGGTGAGATGTTATCACATCCATATTAATGTTTCTTTGATTGTATAAATACTCATCAAAAAACTTTCTAAAATATTCTACCCACTTATTATAAGAACATTTGGACTTTTTCATTCAAAAACTATTTAATATCTTCCAAAATATTCTTGTATCTTTAGATTCTATTAATTTCCTATTTATGTCGCCAAATATAATTTCTTTTTGGCCTTAATTAGGTTCAAATAAATTCTCTTAGTTTTAACATAGTCCATCAGTGCTTCTGTTGTATTGCTCTTTCTGAAAGCTTTTAAGTTTTTCTGTTTTTTAATTTTATAATAATAACATGAGTTATCAAACCACTCATTTTTATATTTATGCTTATTGGCGGGGTTACATCTCTTAAATTTGCATTCTTCTAGTTTTGATATCATTCTCTGATAACTAACTATTGGTTCTTCCTTGTTTTCTAACGATATCAAATTCGCTGTTGTAGCCTCCGCCTCCCTTAACCATTTCTGTTTGTTGTAGTTTGAGGTAAATTTACTATTAAATATTACTGCCTGATCATCTCCATTATTCTTCCTTTTCGTTTCTCCATCCATTATTAACTTAAGTTGTATTGGAAAATAATTGGATGAGTCCTCATCCAGTACTGTCAAAGATTGACAGTATTCAATTAAGGTCTCAGAGCATATAACACAGTCTACAATTGATTTTCCTGTATGCAATATATAAGTATATTCTGCAGGAACATCTTTTTCTATTCTTCCATTTAGGATTACCAATTGATTTTCATGAATAAATTCTAATAAAACCTTACCTTCACTATTTAATATTTTATCTTTAGATTGTCTTTTATCTATATCTATCTATATATATATAAATAAACATGTATGTCCCTATATTTCACTTTTTCGCCAAAACTACACATCGCACGTGAATGGTGTTTGTATGTGGTGGTAGCCCCAAGTCTCCATTCGTGCATAGGGGTAGTTGCGTCTCGATAGCTATAAAGGTGCGGGAGATATGAGGCTGAAAGTGGTTGAAAGTGGCTTTCTATTTCGAATGTTTTGTTCGAATTAAATTCGAACATAAAATTCGAATATTGGTTCGATTATAGAACGATTGTAAACGTTCCAGAAACGTTGAAAATAGTTCGTTTGACTAAACGTAAAAATTCTCTAATTAGTCTGGAAACGGGGGACCTAATTCTTGCATTCTGTGAAAACGGGTAAGATTAGCTATAATGTAATTATCTTAATCTTCACTATCGTTACTTTTTGCCCACCGAAGCGGGTCCTTGCAGCTAGATTCTAGATTACTTAGAAAAACAGTCTTTTATTTTATATAAAAAAGACTATATTACATACAAATAAAAACACAGCAAAGCGGGTCCTTGCAGCTAGTTATTCATATTTTCATAATTTTGAAAAATCTGTGTGTCTGACATCTCTCCTATACGTGAGTTAAAATCTCCTCTGATCATCCACAGGTGAGTAAAAAAAATCCCACTTATTTAGATAATATTGAATTTCATTTAATATTGGTTTCTTTTCCACCGTTGGCTGTAGATATGTTACTATTATTCCTAAATAAAGTTTGTTCCAAGCATTTTTTAGTTCATCTTTTAATTCTATTATTGCTAGTATAAAGTTCTTGCTTATAGTTTGATATAAAATATCACCAAGACTTTTCTTGATTAAAAGTAACATGCCTCCTGAAGGACAACCGAATTTACTTGTGCAGTATGCATTACTCATTAATATATTATTTTCTTGTTCTAAATAAGTTTTATCCGACAAATTCAAAGTTGTTAACCACGTTTCAGTTATTCTTATAATTTCATTCGAATCTATAAATTTTTTCATCAATATTGTCTGAATTTTTCCTTTGATTCCTTGGCAGTTCCAAAAACTGAATAATACATTATTATGTATTTTCTTTGATCTTAATTTAATCTTTTTTAAATTATTTTTTTCCAAAGTCAGTTTATTTCCATTCACATTTTCTTCATTTGTTTCTATATGATTATGTCCCTGATTATCATTTTGTATATTTATTGCTTTTATTATTTTGTCAGGGTTTTTTGGGTTATTTGTCATAAAAAATGATTTACTAATATAAATTCATTAGTATCCATATCAAGTGTATATATGTGATTATCTTTTATATAGTAATCGTCTCTTATACATACTCTGATATTTTCTGCCATTTATACCTTAATTTTATTAAGTAGTTGTTTCCTCCTAATTCTAGATCTAAGGCATATATCTGTTTTTATGACGATGTTCTTTTCTTCATTCTCCATTTTAGAACGATTCACCCAAAATTTCTTAAGGATTAGATTCCTTTCTTTAACCGAAGTTGTCATTATTTTTATCATTTGATTCTCTAAATTATTTTTTCCCAAGTTGATTAAACCTTCTATTTCTATATCTTTTAAGCCTAAATTTACTTTTATAAATTGTTTTATTTCTTGAAACTTATCAACCGGTTTTAAATGGAAAATTTTGAATAATTAGATTTCTTTTAGTTTTATGAATGAAATTGTAGTTCACTTCACGCCAGCATTTAGAAATTAAAAATGTGACACTTCCGTGTTGCGGCGTTATTGACAGCGTTTTGTTAAATTTCAGACGTGCTCGCTAGTACTTTCAACAGTTTACAACCGTGGTCTTCAGGCGAAATCGAATACCATGGGTATTCGATTTCGCCTGAAGACGTCTGAAATTTAACAAAACGCTGTCAATAACGCCACAACACAGAAGTGTCACATTTTTAATTTCTTTTAGTTTTATCATTTAATATTCTATCCAGCTCAAACTCTAACATACCTTTTAAATTTACACAAGGTTTTACTTTTTCCTCACATTGTTGAATTTTTTGACCAATGATTTTCATTTCTTCTTTAATTTTCGTGTTGTCTTCCTGAAGTCGTCTAATATCATATTTGATTATCTGCATTTCCTGGTTTAAAGATTCAAACTTCTCCTGAATTAGTTCATAAATTGATTATTCATAATATTAATATTGATTCATAAGTGAGTATTCCGGTTCATTTTCTCTTAACTGCTCATTCTGTTCCGATGTTTCAAAATAGTCCTTAATTTTTGAATTTCTCATACAATTGGCATTTATACTCATTTCATCCTCTGAAGTATATTCTTCATCAATTAAATCTACTAACTGGTTCGTGTCTTCCGAAGTTTGAACAAGTTCTTTTCTGGGTCTTCCACGCCCTCTTCTTTGCATATTTGTTTGACTTGATTTTAGCAGAGAACGTTGAAGCGGGCCAGGATTTGTTTCGATTCTGGCCATAATTAACAGCAATAATATTAAATTAATTGTTAATATGATTGTTAAGCAACTATTAAAAACTAGAAAATGGCTTTTAATCCAGGCGTAATCCATTGTGCGTTGTTAGTCTCAGCTCTAACAAAAAAGTCACCAACACTCACCACGACTAGAAACGCCCCCAAATTTAAGTAATAGAATATACTCAAACAAATAAATTTTAGTTTTTAATACAGTACAGAGAAAAAAGTAATCTAAATTTATGAATACATGTACGTACAGTACATACTTGTAAATGTACATGTTTACAATTTGATGAAGTTTACAGTACATCGTGGACTCTTTATTGTGAATGTGGTTTCTCTAAGACATTATAAAATATTATGATTTTTTAAGGTTAACAAATACAGTTATTAAAATTATTTTAATAATCAGTTTAATAACAAATACAGGTATTAAAATTATTTTGCAATAGTAGAAAATAAACTAATTTATGTTAAATTTACCAGAATCAAGTGGCACTGACAACAATGCCAAACAGTAGATATTGGAACTACCATGGAAAACGCCAATAATGAGTACTTAAAGACCGCTAAAAAAGACGACAACACAAAAACATAGATGTTTTCATGTTTCATTCTCTAGGATTTCTGATGATTATTTCAACATTTACTGTAAATGTGTGTATTTTAATATGATTTTGTGTGCTTTTAACATTTTTCTAGTGATATTATGACTTCAATATTTGTGGCGAATGGACGTAAAGTCAAATAAAATGACTTAAACTTGAATTTTATTTTTCCATATACTTTTTTGACAAACTACGTAACTCGAGGTATACCTGTACAAATAATTTTGAAATAAAATATTACAAGATGTTCTTTTTTTTTTTGGTGCTTTTAGAATTTATTTTCCTTATGTACAGTATATCTGAAAATGAAAACAAATATTTTTGAAAACGTATTTCTAAATTCTAAATAGACAACTGATTACTTTATAGTTGATATGAATATATAATTTATTTAGTAATTAAGATTCCATTAAAAATAACTAAGTTATCAAAATAATTATATTTAAAAAATCAACCTTAGTTACTTTTAAATGGAAAAAAATTGAAATAATAATATAATAAAAACATCAATCAAACTTTAATTCAATCTTTTATTAAAAATAATTCTAACCTGCAAAATATTATCTCTTTTCCACCCTCAAAATAGCTGTATTTTCCCCATTTTCTTGGAATTTCTACCACCATCACTCCACTAAGTCCATATAAAACTAAGAAATGGCCAACTTTGTTAATGAGTACATAACTGACTTCAAATAATGGAGGATTTGTAAGCATCAATGTCTGAAAAATAAAATATAAAAACATATTTCTTATCAAAGAAATAAACTGTTAATAGGAACAAATTAAAATAGAATATATGGCTAAATTAAATATTTTCTAAATTATTAAAAACTTAATGCAAATTTAGAGCAATTTGTTCAGGGCCAGACATACACATTAAAATTTTCTTCTAAATAAATTTCTTTTAAAAATGGATTTTTAATAGTTAAAAATAATAATAATGTAGTTTGTAAATAATATATCTTTTTAATTTTTAACAAATTATTTAAAAAAAAAATATCATGAAAAATTCCTTTTATGATATTAATACAGGAAATTGCCATGAATAAAATGATCTCAGATAACAACTAGAGAATTTTATTTTATTTTAGCCTTGGACAACTGTTAATTAAAGCTGATTGTCAATCCAAATACCAACAAATTAAGATTAATAAAATAAAAAGACATAAAGAATGTGATATTTATTACATATAAATATATATGATGTAAAAGATTTTAGATTTAGTTTATTATAATTTAATAATTAATTAAAATCTTCTAAAAGAAAGTTTCAATATTACTCTATAAAATGGATTGTTTTAACATGTATTTAAAACAAATTTTATTTCAGAGTTTAATATAAATTTATATATTGGTCATTATTGTAAATAATATGCTCTGTAAATTGATAAAAACATATAAAGAAGTCCCAATTTATCATTGGTTACACAGAGAACAGTTTAATCACTAAGCTTATTGAATAAAACAAATTAAATTTGTTCTGTTTGATAATTTAATTGAATTTACCAAACTTTAGAAATGAATAAATGAAATTGAAAGTAAAACTAAAATTAACTGACTACTTTTACCATTCATATGAGATCAACTTTCAACATACATACATATGCATGTATGTATAATTTAAGTACAGTCAAACCTCATGTTACGTATGTCTCCATTTAAGAACAGAATTTTGAATGCCATATTTGAATTTGAAATTTTGTTAAATATTTCATAAAAAGAATATGCATTTGGAACTCGTAATACATTCGTTTGAATTTATAATTTCCAACAAAAACTGGATTTGAAGAAAATCTGAAAAAAAGAGAAGGATCGAAAATGTTAGTCCATTTCTACATACATGATATATTAGAGTTACATAAGGATTATCAGGTATGTAATATACAGCTACTCCAATCTATAGTGTTTATGATACTTGGTTTCTGAACAAGCTACTTGGCAGAGCTGACCACTGATGGTCAACTTCTTATATTAAAGTTCATTGCTTTTCTTCCACAACTTTTTTAAAATATAGTTTTCAGACTGTAAGAAGATTTTATCAATTTCATTTTGCATATACACACAAAAAAAAAATAAACAATTATTTATTGATCCACTTGTGACAAAATTCATCAATTATATTTATTTTTTATAATTTATTGTCACATATGACAATAAACCTAAAAGTTTGAATAAGCAAGGAAATATTTTCAAAACCATTGCAACTTAAATGGCTTTATGACTACAACATTACATAAAATATCTATTTTGAAGTTATTCAAAATAGAAAAGAAAAATCAATTCCATATACACACATTCTATTATATAATCTCAACTTTATTAATAAATGATAATAATAATTATACAGAAAAAAGTTATTATAAGTTTTCAGTACCTAACAGATGCATCTATTATTTTTAGTTCTTAGAGAATATTTCAGTAATACAAGTATTACAAGTATTTATGCTGAAGGTAGTATCATTTTGCAACCCATTAAAATTTTAATGTGACCCATAGTTTGAGAAATGCTGCTCTACACTATGGTATATATTATATGGATATTTGGTGAAACCTTACATTAGTCAATTTCCTAATACACAAATAATTAAAATATTTCTTACAGAATCATAATATATAAACAACAACTCAATATGATTTTTGATTAAAGCCATATGTTCTGTCAAATTTATCATGAGATGGTAGTTTAACTGCTTACTTCTAGATAAATTACTTCATATCTAATGACACAGGTCTGCAAAAAAAATCTTTTTCCAGCTGCATGGAATATTTTTGCTGAATTATGTTTTAAAGATCGCATATTCTAAAAATAACTTCCGTTATATCCCATCATGTAAAGGGTTTTTGCAAAATAAAAACAAATTTTTGATAAAAACTCTTATTTATTACAATGAACTAAATATACTGTATTATATTTTCTTACAACTAATCAACAAATTGTTTCTGATATTTATACACAATTTTAGGTCTACTCTTTTTTCTTATGAAACCTTTTCTTCTTTTTGATGATTCTCCAAACTTGTTTCCAATTTCTTTCTCTGGTTTCTCAATTGAACATCCAACAGTAGTCAGCTAACATATTGACATCCCATTTTCCTTGTTAACGTCTCTCAATATCATGGACAACCTGGTGAAATCTTTCACCCTGTTCTTCATTGTGGGCGCTCAAGTTTTTGGGAAAATAGTCAATATGGGAGTGTAAGAAATGAACTTTTAAATTCATCTTGCATCCTTGAGCTTCATACGCTGCTGCCAGCATGGTTTATACAATGGTTTTGTAGTCAGGGTTCTTAGTATTTCCCAAAAACTTATGCACTACACTCTTGAAAGAGTCCCATGCTTCTTTTTCCTTTTCTCCCATTGTTTCCAAAAATCTGCTTTGTCTTGATTTCCAAGTTTCAATTTGAAATACACAAATTAAACTTTCTTCACAAACTCATTTATGTTTCTTTGTTGACTTTTCACTGTGTATTCACCACAAACATAACAGAAGCTGTTGGAAGAAATTATACAACCTCTGCAAGCCATATTCCAGAAATAAAAATGCAGGCACAGTAGCATTCAAATGCTGGATATAAACTGAGTGTGGCATTAGCTGGCCAGTGAGATACTGAACTTATTTAGCTTGTTGAAACATGATCTAATCCAACAACAGGTTGTTTATATTTATTCCTAGTATCCCAGATAACGTGTCAAAACATGCTCAACCTCACCAATAATATTACTCACTATCAACTTTTAACCTGTTTCTATACGATCATGCAATCTTCCTCCTAATGCTAAAACTACTTAACCCACCTCCCCCTACCACTACTCTCTTCAATAATTAACATTTGTAAGGAACCAAGTCCGAGTGTTATTTTTAGTTACTTTTTATTTTGCTTTTATTCTATTTTGTTTGGGGCTTATGTTTTATTAGGACAAAGGTTTCCTCACCACTCATCTTAGAAATGTAAAAACAGAAAAAAGAAAAAACCAACTCACCAACGAGAAGAAGCACCTAGAAAAAAAACTCGTGCACACTTGCACTCCCGAGCGGAAAAAAGTAAGTCTGCACCGAGAAGAAGGGGGAGACACCACAAGCACAACTCAGGAATTTGCTAAACCTTAAAGAGTAAAACATCCTGAAATATTGTCAGAAAGAATAATATAAAAGGTTAGTGAGTGAGTCTTGTTGGGAAATAAGCTGCCAGGCAAAAAGGAAAAGTTCAATATTAGAGATAAGCATGTAAATGAAAGGAGTGGTCTCAATCAGAATTGTGATGTCACCTCATAGTATAAAGCCCATACCTCAAGTGAAGATGAACAAGGTGAGCTTCTGTTAGCAATGAGCGTAGTGAGTTTCATAGCAGCGAACGAGAGAGGTGTCCGATAGCGATAAAGTTGTTCCAAGGCAAATTGAATAACTTCAATCCACAAATTGAAGTTATTCAATTTGTGGATTGAAGATTGGAGAAAGTCTTGAGAGTTGAGGAAAAAGGTTCTTAGTATATTGAGGTGACGGTTAAGACCTTAGTTCATAAGACTTGTTGTACATAGGTTAAGTCTTTGAATTTTTTGTGGCGTTCCAAAGGGGAATAGATTTAAGCTAGCAACTAATTGATTTGAGTTTTGTCAGGTTAATTATTATTGTTGATTTTCTTTGAATAAATTGTTGTTTGACTTTTACTAATTTTGTACATAGTCATTATTAGAATTATTATTAAATATTGGATTGTTTTTTCACTAACTTTGTCATTATTTCTTTCAGTGCATGCTTAAAGTCCAGGCCTGGCACATTAATCGTGAATCCGCATAAAGTACCCGTTAGGTAATGGCTATTTCTGGCACACAGTTTGTGTCGATAATTGTTGTAAAAGGCATAAAAATAACTTAGTACTTTACACATTTTTATTTATTTATTACCAAGTCCAGCTATAATTAATAGAATTAATGTGAGAAGTCTTCATTTTAAGGCTATTTTTTAAATAAAAAAAAAAAGAATACTAAATTTTAAGTTAAGTAGGAATTTTATGCTAAATACAAACAAAAACTTGAGTGTAACAAAAAAATTGATGAGATCGAATTTTTTTTAGTATTTTTTTCGTTTTTACCAAGATGAAATCTGTAAAAAAATGTATAAAAATGCTATGCAGTTTTTTACTTGCAGACCTGTGTTATTGGTTGGTTGGATCTGGGTTATATGGTCCTAAGGCATAGGTAGGATCAAAAAGTACCAGGTCAAGACAATTTGGGTATTTAAATATCCTTTTGGATAATTTAAGAATCCATAAATCTTACTATTGCATATATCATTTTAGAGCTCAGAATGTAGTAATATGCATAGACTTTGTTGTCATCTAGGAATTTCCATATTTGTTATTGAAGATAATCTTAAGCTGTTTTTTACTGGCAGAAGATTAGTCATATGTGTCAGACTGTAAGCAGGGTATGATAAATTGGGCATATCCTTTGTTAGCAGATAGCTGTGTGTGTGTAAGTCATGTGCCACCTGTCCTAAGTCAAGCAAATAAGATAGATTTCTTCTTTTCATTTTTTCTGTTGGATAGTTGTATATTTTGTTGTCTGGTTTCATAGTGTGTAGTTTGTTATTTAGCTCATTGTTCCATTCCTGTTGTCATCTGTAATATATTTACCTGTTTATATGGCTATACAGACCTTTATAATATGATCAGAACACTCTTGCCTGGTTACAGTTTGCTTGTTTAAAGTTTGTCAGTTTTGTTTCCTTGGATTCC